TAGGATTACCTTTTTTTCTCTAAGTTAGTTTTCTCTTTAAATTTAACCTTCAGTTTTGAGTCACTTAGTTGGCTGCTGCATCAAATGATTCTTCGGCTTTATAGGGTCTCCCAGTGATGCCCGATGGGATCAGCACAGCCCCAGGTGCTAGTTGCTAATGCCTATAAAATACCACCCACCCCCAAAAAGGAGAATCATTTAACAGTTCTTTGGACTTCATCTTCAAAAGTAGCCAAAGAATTCAAGTGACACGTTATCCCAGGAAATCTTTTGCAATCAGTGAACTTACGGTATAACTAAGAACATTCAGAATACTACACACAGAGTTTAGTTGATCTTGGTATAGTGGTAGGACAGCAGTGATTATAAAATGAAAGTAACATGTACATGCTCTGTTGGGGGAGACTAAAGGGAAAGAGGTGTTCGGCCTAGAAAAACATTTCTCAGTGGATTTCCTATGAAGTCAATGTGTCTTGGGTTTAACTTTGAAACAAATTTAAAAATTTAAAAACTGAAAAAAAAAAAATACAGCCAAGAAGCTAGTAAGATGCAATACTTGAAGTCTGGGATCATTAGATCATTCGTTCTTTCAATAAACATGTGTTGTGCACACGATTTGCTCCCTGCCTGGCTACCCACCCTCCCGTCTCAGGCCACACAGCAAGCTCTGCTGCACGCTCGCCCGGCCTCGGCACCGTGGCTCGCCTCCCACTCATTCTTGCCTTGCAGTTTTTCAGATACTCTTGCTCCAGATGTCCTCTTGGCCAGCTCCTTCTCTTCACTCCAGGCTCAGCTCTTCAGAGGCACCTTCCCTGGCCACCCTACATGAAGGAGTCCCTTATACATCATCCCTCAAATTTTCTTTGTAGCGCTTAACATGGTCTAAAACTACCTTGTTCGTTTACTTCCTTGTTTATTATTTGTCTGCCCACTACAACTGAAGTTCCATGAGGGCAAGGATCTCATCTGTCTTATTTATCACTGTATCCTCCACTCTGAAAACAGTCCTTGCTTATAGCAGGTACTCAATACATTTTAGTTGAATCAATGAATGTACCAACTATAAAAATTTACAGAATATGGGAAATAAATGAGCAAGCTTAATACAGTAATATAAATTAATAAATACTTGAGAATTAGTGGGCTGGAACTCATAACAGTAATGGAAGGGTATGCTTTGCTCAAAAGAAACCAAAAGAGATGGAAAAGGAGGAAAAGCAATATTTACAAATATCCATGGAAACTGAGAAAGGGAGGTCAGAGGTAAACTGCTTGGGTAAGAAAAGGAGAGGAAGAGATGTGATTTCATCATGGAAGATGTTTTACACCTGCTAAGCCCTGTTATTCTCTATCCTAGCACTTTGCCACAACCTGTAATTAAATAATTTGCTTGCTTACACGTTTATCACCTGTCTTCCCCACTTTAATTTAGGCTCTTTAAGAGCAGGAACCATGGGTGGTATCCTCAGCCCCTGGCACAGAGCAGGCCCTCAACAATATATTGGGTGGCGCACAGAATGCAGAAGTGAATACTGTGGACCAAGTGTTTCCCTAGAGGACGAGGGGACAGTGTACAGGGGAGAGAATTCTGTGCAAACAGCTAATGATTAATCCATTTAACAAACATGGAGTGAGGGCCTACTGGGTGCCAGACACTGCTCGGTGCTACACACAGAGAGAATGACGCAGTCCCTGCGTAGAACGAGCTCACAGTCTCCTGCAGGTGATGGACAAGTGAGCAAGGGCCAAAAAGCGAGCTTGGACAAGAGCTATCCGGGATGAGAAGCGCCCTGTTAGAGGAAAGCACGTGGCACTATGTGAACCCAGATAGGGGCCATGTAGCCCAGACTAGGGGATCAGGAAAGGCTTCCAGGGAGTCAGCCAGATGGAGGGCACTGGGAGGGACTTTCCTGACAAAGGAAATGGTGAGCCAAAACCTGGTAAGCAGGGAAGGTTGCAGGATGAGGGAAAGACTCAGGGAGAAGAATCTGGGAGGCGGAATCTGGGTAGGACCAGCCTGGGTGTAGAGCAATGATTCAGTTAAGGGGATGGGGAAGAGGCGGGCGGGGATAAATTTTCAGGGGTGATGCACGTGTTCATCACCTTGACTTTGGGAAAGGTTTCACAGGTGTATACTTATATAAACTCCTCACTTTCAATGTGTGAAGTTTACTGTTCCTCAATTATACCTCAATAAAGTTGTAAAAACTAAAACACTAAAATAATAATAATGAAACAGTATTGGTTAGGTTGGCAACAGGTTGTAGATGTAGGCTTTGATTGCCTAGCTAAGGGGTGCGTAGTTAGAAAGGTGTCAGGCTTTTTCAAAGCACCTCCAACATCTCCTTTGGGCCAGGGAGGAAAGTGCTAACCTCAGACACCCATCCTTGAGGGCTGGATAAGAACTTCCTCAGGCTCCCTCTTGCCTCACAGAAGGTCTGTATTTCTGGGCAATTCCAGAAGTGCTCTGAAGACAACCAGTCTTCCCACCTTTGATTAAAGATGATATTTTGGTGTTCTGCAGGGGAGTGCCTTTGAGAGGCAGAGGTGGAAATTGAGAGGGGCCCGATACTGGGAGGGGCGTGAAGGACTGCAATTGCCAAGTACAGTGAGAACAGTCCTGTCCCTGGAAGCACCCCTAAGAGTGATGTGCTCAGGGCCTCCCAGCCAAGGCCAAGGCAAAGATCCCGGTGGTTGTAAATCCTGTAGACTACGCATCTATATCTATTTGGCTTCCCTGTCACCTCCCAGCCCCACAGCCTCTTCTGAGCAACCAGCAAAGCACCAGAGCCTTCAGCTCTTTGAATGGAAATAATAACGTCTAATTCAGAGAGAGAGAGACAGAGATTGTGAGGATTAATTAAAATAAAGCTAATAGGTTGCCCATAGCACAACCTAGTTCGTCACAGATGCTCAATAAATGTTCTCCCCTCCCCCACTCATAGAGAGGACATGAACATGTGACTTACAACTGAGAAATGCTCCTGTCTTCTCCTTCTGCCATTTCTATCCATGCAACAGGCATTGATTGAGCTGCTCTGGGCCAAGCCCTGTCTGGGGGCTGAGTTTACAAGAGTGAAAAAGACACAGTCTCCAATCTCCAACAGTCCACGGTGTGATTAATGCCACAGTGGATAGAAGCATGGGGAAATTACAGGAAAGAGGAAGGCGGGCTGCCTCGAGGAGGTGATAGCTACCTTGCCTGGGGAAACTCAATCACACCCTTCTATCTAAATTCAGATTTTTATAGATACAAATCTATAGAAATCAACTTTTATCACTTTTATCACCATCCATACCATTTTAGATGCTTACAGAATTTCCATCTACTCCCTAACACCTGGCATTTCCTAGGTATGTAAGATATATTTAACAGTTACAGAGTGCTCTCCTCTTTTAAAAAAGTATTCCAGGGCCTATCAATTGAGGTGGTGGTTTACAAGCTGGGGTCCCAGACCCCGGGTCCTCAACAGTGATAGGGGTCTTTGAGCTGTTTTCATTATTGCCAAAGACTCAACATCAATCACGTTTAACCTTTCCTCAGGCTTCCCAGGGTCCTTTGGCAGTTACTTCTTCACTTTCATAGAATCCTAACACACAGCGAGGCAATGCTGATAGGCTCAGGCTGGGCAGAGGCTTGGATTGGCTGTTATACAGGATTTGGATTCAATTATTTTTGTAAAGGAAAATGAAGCAAGCATTGGTTAATAAATGCAGTTTTATTGCATACACAAATCCTCCACTACTCTGGGGGAAAATAACTAAAAGGGTTCTTAGTGGTAAAAAAGCTGGAAACCCCTTAGCTCAGGAAGCCTGAGTTCAAAGGGCAAAGAACTCTCTTTTACCCGTAAACTGCCCTTCCGTGACTTCCTGACCATTTCAGCAAAATATCTACCTCAGTTAGTTGTTGGGCCAGGAGGAGGTCAGAACTGGGGGCACCTCAGAACAAGAGAGGGTGGAAGTTCCAAAACCAAGGAGCCTTCAAAAAGAGAAGGCTGGAAAAAATCTCCCTGCCTGCCTTTGCTTTTCTCTTTGCACTTGGAACAGGAATTTTGAATGAACATGTATTACTCACTCGCTGACAGGCACCTTACATGCATTATTTTAATCAATGCCCACTTCACGGATCAGGTCACACAGTGGGCGAATAACTGAACCAGGACAACGAATCCAGACAAATCTGGTGCTTGAGGCCCTTTGACACTATGCTGTATTGCCTTTTGGTAGGACAAGGGCATATTAGAATTAGGGCAAATAGGTTTATCTTCTTTAGACGTCATTGCTTCTCGGTGACAATATTATGGATACCTTTTTTCCTTCACTTTTCTATAAGTTCTAAATTTTTCCTAAGAACTTTTTCTTAATGGCTTTTCTATGGATGGATTCATCAGTAGTTAATGTCTGGAGGCTGTTCTGGTGGAGCTTTCCACCAAGGATATATGAGCTGCTTCTAGATTTGGGGAGTCATCAGCAGAGAGATGGATTCTGAAAAATCAGGGAGTGAATTAGGTTCCCCTAGGGTGAATGTGTGGAGTAGAAATTTGGGTTGAGGAAAGAATCTTGGAAGACAGTTGGTGGAAGAGGAGCTGGTGAGAGTGAGGAGAAACAGGAGGAAAACCAGAGAAAACCTCCATGTCTATTACCTTCTGTGTAATATGGCACAGTAATACTGTGCTGTGGAATACTGGCCGGTATTTTGTCAACAATCTCTACCTTCTTGTCTCAAGGAACACCTTGAAGGTATAAGAATCCTAGTAAATGTTGGTGTTAGAATTCTGGGATTTAGTGTTTTTCTAGGCAGAATTAATGCTCCCTGATGGAGTCCCCAGAGTAAATCTCCATGTCCTCTGTTTTACAAGTGCGTGAATTACTGTACCCTGGTCTTTATTATTGGTGTGTCTCTTCTATGGAGACACGGGGGTATTACTGACTCAATTCTTTTTTTCCCAGCTCTTTGCCATGTAATAATTGATCCTGAGCAAGATACGTAACCTCTCTAAGCCCCAGTTTTTAATGAGAATCATCGTGCCGTTCAGAGGTTGTTAGGAAAGGATACAGTAAAATGGAAGAAAAAAAAAAAGTGCTTAACACAGTGCTAGGAGTATGGTCAATAGTGAAAAACTGGTACCTACCAGTTTTGAACAGCTACCCTGAGGCTAGTGCTTTTTGATGCGTTCACGTAAGGATCGCTCCGTCCATCTCCAGAAACAGAGAAGTCAAGTTCTGTCCTCGCGTCGTGAACCAGATAAAATCTCAGCTCAACGACTCCCAACTTGCCGTGGGCCAAGTCCCGGTCTGGCTCCCGCCCAAAGACTACAAGTCCCAGCATGCCGCTCGCTGGGCCTCGACGGCCCCGCCTCTTCCGCGTTGGCCCGCACGTGGGCGCCGCTCTAGGCACCGCCTTCTCTCGATGCTCCTGTCCTGGGCGCGCAATGGAAACCGGCTGCTGGTTGCTTGGCGGCGAGTTCGAGGACTCGGTGTTCGAGGAGAGGCGGGAGAGGCGGCCTGGACCGCTTGCGTCCTACCGCGCCAAGCTCTGCGAGCCGCAGGTGAGAAAGCGGGGCCTCTCGGCCTCATCCCAGCCCCCGGGCCTCGCGCTCCCGGGTCCCGGCCCGACAGCGCTTCAGACGCCCCAAGGCCGCGTGGCCTACCCCCGAACCCAAACCCTCCCGGCACGAGTCCTGCGTCCACGCGGACTCCCTGGTGTCCCTTCCCCTACTCGAGCCGCAGCCTGCTGGGCCCGGCCCTCTCTGCCCCCGAGGGAATCCCCGCGCCGTCGGCCATCAACTCGCACCTGGCGTCCGGCCTGCCTCCCGGAGGCTCGCTGGCCTCACGCCCCTGCTCTAAAATCTGTAGTTGCTCCCGTGGAACTTCACTGCTTCTGCTGCCGGGCAGTCAGGGCCCCCAGAAATCCAGCCCCCGCCCACTTTTCAGACCTCAGTGTTGTCTGCTCCCTGAACCGTGACGCCCGACCCACGGGCCTGCCCTTGTTCACTGAGTTCCCCCTGCCCATGTTAACCCCGTTCAGATGGTCACAATCGTTCAATTATAGACATTTCTCAAGGCGCACCTTAAATGCCACCTCCTCCAAGAAGTCTTTTCTGATTCCCCCTTCCAACCACATATTTTTGTTTTGACTCCTTTTCCCTCTTTTACCTATTAAAGCACTTGTCAGTATCTCATCAAACTCTTAGACCCAGAATGCTTAATGATCACAGGAGCGTGCGTGCTTAACTTTATGTCCTCCACAGTGCCTGGCAGTTTTTGTTCATAGTGGGAACTCCGTGAATATTTTGAATAAGTAGACTATTAACCTGGTATTCTTTTATGTGTGTAAATCTCATCTCACCAATAATAATTCCTTTTTATCAGGTAGTGTTCCAGGCACTGGGCAGGGTTCCCTGACACGTATTGTCTCATTTTTCCTTAAAACCCTTGTACTTGCAGATGTCAGGCACTCAGAAATTACTGAATTGTATGCTTGCTTTATTTCACTTACATTTTCTCCTTGCCACATGCAGTCTTTCAGAGTGACCTTTAGTACTTGATCGTGTAGACTAAAAGCGGGGAATGGGCTTTCAAAGTCATGGGGTACCGCATTAAAAAGCCACGGGTGTGAGATAGGACCCTTGCGTTCCAGCGTTGGCTTTACCGGTTGCCTTTCAAAGTGTCAGTTCCTTATTTGTCATTTGAGAAAAAATAATGTTTGCTGGCTCACAGGTTTATTGTGAGAGTGGAATGAGATAATACTTCGCCGGGTGTGGTATGCTGTATACTTATAAAGTAAAATCCCCAAATCACTTGTCATTAGAATTTACTTGGTAAATGGTAACTGCTCATAAATTCAGGCCCCATTCAAGTCCTCTTGGTTTCCCCAAGTGTAAAACCAGGAGTTTGGGTTAGAAGATCAGTGTTCCCTGCCTGTTTGGTGTGGGACCAGGTGTTTTGCCTTACCAGCACTTCTCTTCTCAGTCTCACCCTTGTTCACAGCTTTTCCCTCCTACTCTTATCAGAATGGGGTATTTAAAGCCATCCCCATCTGCGCTCTTGCGTTTGGAAGCCAATTTTGCTTGATCATTTCCCAGTAGGATGATGAACATTGGATGGAGGTTTGCAGTTATTCAGTTATTGTTCAAGAAGTTGGGATTGGCTGATAATCTAATAGAGTATGTGACTGGAGAGCAATAAAGTGCAAAGGAAAATTATGGGTTCAGTATATAGGCTGTTGTTGGGTTACACAGTACTTCAGGGAGAACAGAAAAACAGTGGTTGCTAGCTTTCTCCACAATGATGAATCAGGCTAAGGAGGGAAACGATTACTAATTAACGATATTACTAATTAACAGAGGGGCAGTGATACCCAAGCAACTCTTTTAGAAATAGAACCAAGAAATTTTGATGTGATGGTGGAACCATCACAAATGCAGTTACGTTTGAATTAATAATAGTGTGTAACTGACTTCATTCAGCCTCAGCGTGTTTGAGTAAAAGGGAGGATGGGGGACTTCCCTGAGGTCACAGTGGTTGAGAATCTGCCTGCCAATGCAGGGGACACGGGTTCAATCCCTCATCTGGGAAGATCCCACATGCTGCAGAGCAACTAAGCCCGTGTGCCACAGCTACTGAACCTGCGCTTTAGAGCCCGTGAGCCACAACTACTGAAGCCCGCGCGTCTAGAGCCTGTGCTCTGCAACGAAGAGTAGCCCCTGCTCGCTGCAACTAGAGAAAGCCCATGCACAGCAACAAAGACCCAATGCAGCCAGAAATAAAAACATTTTTTTAAAAAGGTGGGAGGGGGGGAGGATGAGATACTTTGGAGCTGGAAAACTGGCACACAGTGCTTCTCGTCATTCGTGTTTTCTCATCTTAATGTTCTTTATGCAATAATCAAAAAAGATCTATCCATAGGGTTTAAATCAGTAGAAAAGTGAATAAAATATTCCAGATGGGCATTTCCTGAGACTTTTCTCCTATAGCATTTTGGCATTTGATTGCACGGAAGCCACCTTTCAGCCTTCATCTCTATTTCCTCTTTGCGTCGATTCTACTTTTGGCTTTTACACTTTCATAGTAGCACTATAATGACAGTTCTTCTTTTCTGTGTCCTCTCCGTAAACAGTTGTCAATCCCTATTCCATCCACCCTAAAAATTTCTCTGCAGGAAAACATCTCAGTCTAAAGAACCATCGTGAACTGTGCTAGTTAAATGTAGGTTCCCAAGCATCACAACCGCAAATTGGAAATGCTGTAGATAAAACCATACACTTTTGTGTTTTAGTTAAGAGGTATTGTATTATTGGTATATTTACTACTTGTGATAATTTTCATAAAAACTGGGCCACCGTTAGAATTGTCATTCTTCTTTGTCAGGTGTTTTCCTGAGTCTTATCCTGAAGAATTATGTCTTTTTTGAGGTTTAATCAATTATATATGGGAAATTGCTTCTGAGTAGGGGGTGGAAAAGTGTAGTTTCATTCTCTATAATATGCTGTTTTCACAATTTCTAGTGGTTTTATGAAGAAACGGGGAGCAATGATGATGTTGAAGCTCTGACTATCCAGAAATTCAAAGGGGACCTGGCCTACAGACGGCAGGAGTATCAGGTAGAATTTAACATATAGAAGACTGCACTACTTGAAATGGGCTTTTGTTCTGTCCATTACAGTATATTTAAATAACAGTATACTGAGTTATGAGTGTGTTGTTTGTGAAGATGAATTTAATCTTTTGTGATATGTGTTTGTAATCTTAGAATCCCAAGTTTCTAGCTCTGTATAATTTGTTTTGTTTCCTGTAACTCCAGTATAGAGAGCTTGTTGGGATCCTTGTAGGTCTGTTTCCCCAGGTTCTGTATCTCCTAATTATGTGGGAACCTCTAGCACAGATACCTCATGGGGCCACAGGAACAAAGCACCCGAAAATGTGTAAGAAAAGGGAAGAACTAACAGCTAGATTAGTTGTCAGCTTGCTTTATTTAGAGACTTCATGTCATCTTCACAAGAGTCCTGTTGTTATTTTGCTGAGGTGAAAAGGTTATACAGCAAGTTAGTGGCAAACCTAGGATTCACATTCTGGTCTTTTGGGCTCCAGAATGCTTTATTTATAGTCTCCAGCCATTTTTTCTCTACCTTTCAGAAAAAGAGTACTGACTAAAATGCTCAAGTCTTCCTTTAGTTCATTGTAGGCTCAGTTATAACATTACCTTCTGCCTAGGAAACACGTCACCCCCATGACTGAATTCTTTTTCTACTGTGTTTTCTGCCTTTCTTTTCATCCCTTCCCTTCATTTTCTTTTATTTAACAAATATTTGCCAGAAAGCACTGCAGGAGTATTCCAGTATCTCAGAAAAACTGCCATCTACGAATTTTGCCATGAAAAGGGATGTCCAGGAAGGCCAGGCTCGGTGTCTCGTTCACCTGGGGAGGCACGAGGAAGCCCTGGAGATTGCTACAAACTTGGTGAGTGGTTTCTGTGCGTATTTCCATTTGCTTCCCTAGGATGGCTGAATGGTTTATTTTGTAAAAAACAAAACAAAACAAAAGACAACTTGTTGCAGCTAAATCTGTGTGTTTGGATAAGCAGAAGAAAATTGTCAGTGGTGGAAGAACTTTATTATGATGAACAGTTTGGAGGTCTAGACATAATCATTTGCTTGTAATATTTTTTCCTGTGTTATGCTCAGAATTTTTCGTTGCCTGAAAATCTCACTTGCAAAGGTTTTTTTTTTTTTTTTTTTTGGCTGTGTCGGGTCTTAGTTGCGGCATGCAGGATCTTTCATTGAGGTGTGCGGACTTCTCTTTAGTTGTGGTGTGCAGTTTTTTTCTCTTTCTAGTTGTATCACACAGGCTTCAGAGCATATGGGCTCTAGTTGAGGAGCGCGGGCTCAGTAGTTGCGGTGTGCGGGCTTAGTTGCCCCGCGGCATGTGGGATCCTGGTTCCCCGACCAGGGATCGAACCCACATTCCCTGCACTGGAAGGCAGACTTTTTAGCACTGGACCACCGTGGAAGTCTCACTTGCAAAGGTTTTTACTCTTGTTAGGAGTAAATACTCAGAGTGGAAGGATTATGTGATGTGTTTTCTTCTTTAGGTGTTTTGTTGTTGTTTAGATTTTTATTTTCCAAAATTTCTACAATGAATATATATTACTTTTATAAACAGGAAAAAAGTTTACCAAAAAATGACTAAATATCATACTAGGCCAAGCTTAATCCTTTTTATTCTTAAATGGAGTCTGCAGAATTTTTTTTAAGGAATTTAATAAAAGCAGGGTTTTTTGCAATTCTATATCCTGCTTGTTTTTGTTTTCAGATTAAAGCACCTACAGTTTTTAGTGTAAATTTTATATGGGGACAAGTCTAAGTCGACCAGTCCTAGTTTATAGATGACCAGTTTTCTTCCTCAGAGGGACTTCACGAGGCACTGAGGCTCTGATCTTGAATCCTGTGGATCTCGTTGACCAGAGGTCAGCCTGAAGTACGCAGCCAATTGAGTTGTCCTCCTCCGTTTCATTAACTAAGAGAAATCCCACAATTTGCTTGCCGGGGTTCATTGCATAGGACCTCAGCCTCTTGCAGTGAGAGGAACCCTTGGTGGTAATTGTCTTCGGAACATGGAAAACAGCTGTGTTTTGTTCACTCTTTTTCTCCCCTCTACTAATTGTGGGTTAATTCTTAAGCTGGAAGATAAGATTACCCTGTTAAGGAAGCACATGGCATGAACACAGTGAACTTGGCGGGGTTTAATGGTGTTCAGTCTCCCTGGTCTGAAAATTAACAGCAACTTCGGTTCTTTCAGTTGCTTTTTCTAGACATCAGTCACCCATCCTTCCTCACTGTTCTGCTCTCCCATCGCCTCTCTCTTCCTCACATCATCTGCATATCACTGTTGTGCTTTGTCTCCCCCCCAGACCACCGAAAGCAGTGACAGGTGGATTAGTGTCAGGGGCTGGACTGGCTCTCTGGTTCCTTCTAGCTTAGTGAGTCTCTGCTGTTGTGGCTCAGAGAAGGATTTGTTGCCAGCAGATGCCATCCAGAGCTTGGGATAGTTACCAGGCAGGAGGAAGGACCAGTCAGAACACCTTCAGCTCCTCTGTCAGGACTTTGAGAACTGGTCCTTGGGCTGCTGGGCATCCTGGTGGGCAGGAGTGTTGGGGAAGAAATGGCAGCATAGGCTAATAGGTCTCACCCCTTTCTTTGGGTCTCTTCACATGATCTCAGTGGAGCCTGCCCATTTGCATGGTTTTCTCATTTCCTGATGCCCTGTGTTTTGTTTTCTTTTTCCCTACTTGTAGGCCCTCTTCTTGTTACTCGCTCCGGCCCGTTTCTGGGTTTTGTCCCAGTGGTTATTGCCCCCTCGTGCTCTGGAGTGGGCAGGTCATGACCCAGCATTGAACAAAACACAGTGAGTCTTGGAGTGCCCAGCAGGATATGAACATTTTATGCTCACAACTTCTACTGAAGTTTATTCACCTCTCTTCTTAATCATTTTTGGATAAAATTTGTAATGGAACTTATTTCTTTCTTTTTCTTTTATTTTATTTTGGCTGCCAGTGCAGCAAAAAAATTGTTCTTCGTTGCTGTGTGCAGGCTTTCTCTAGCTGCGGCGAGCAGGGGCTACTCTTTGTTGCAGTGCACGGGCTGCTTACTGCAGTGGCTTCTCTTGTTGCAGAGCACGGGCTGTAGGCTCGCGGGCTTCAGTAGTTGTGGCACACGGGCTTAGTTGCTCCACATGTGGGATCTTCCCTGCCAGGGCTCGAACCCATGTCCCCTGCATTGGCAGGTGGGTTCTTAACCACTGCGCCACCAGGGAAGCCCTGGAACTTATTTCTTAAACAAATAGTTTAAACATCTTATAGCGGCTGATAGGCTCATGTGATAAACTGTGGTAAGGAAACTGCTTTTTGACAGTTACTGACTTTTTTTTCCATTTATCACTTCACAAACATTTATTTCAGTCTTACCATGTGTGCAGTTCTGGGTTCGGTGCTAAGGAGACAGAAAACCATGTCCATACTCTGCCCATACATTGCTGACCTAGTGTCTAGTGGGAGAATCCTAAGCCAGCTAACACGCGTCAGCTCTTCTGAAGTACCTTTATTCTGTGACTTCTAGTGGGACCGATCGTAGCTCTGCTACTTACTAGCTGTGTGACGTCAGGCAGCTTATCTGACTTCTCTCTTAGGACTCAGTTGCCTCAACTGTAAAATGGGGATAGTGGTAGAGTCTATTTTAAAGGATTGTCTTGAGGATTAAATGAGTAAAGCACTTAGAGTAGTGTCTGGCATATGGTAAGCACTCTGTAAATGTTAACTCTTGTCATCATCATTGCATTATAGAAGGAGTTGCAGTACTGTGCACACAAACTCGTTTAAATGGAATGTAGTTTCCAGAGAGTTCTTTACTAGCTAGGCCATCAAAACCATGGTCTGCGTGCTCCACCCTACCCCACCACATACTTGCTTCCGCAATCTGAAAATGTTTGTAAACAGTATAGGGCACTATAGACTGTAGAGGAAAGGTGGCGTTTGCTGTAGGTAGTTTATACGCGTTGCTTTCACTATTATAAATAAAAAACATAAAGATGTATTACTCAACAGTTATTAGACATCTGTTATGTCTGAGGTGCTGTGCTCTACTAGGAATTCAGCATTGAACAAAAACTTCTGGAACTTAATGGTCTCTGGGGAAGGACAGAATACTGAACAATAGTAATAATAAAACCAGATCAGATCTGTCATCGGGAAGGTATAGTATGACTGAATAGGTTACATGAGGCTTTATTTCCTGTCTTTTCACTCAATATATGAATACTTAGAATCCTCCTCAAGCTTTCACTCACTGGTCAGCCAGTTTCTTCCAGCTGCATGCTGGGTAGGTTTTTCTTTGTTTTTTTTTTTTTTTGCGGTACGCGGGCCTCTCACTGTTGTGGCCTCTCCCGTTGCGGAGCACAGGCTCCGGACGCGCAGGCTCAGCGGCCGTGGCTCACGGGCCTAGCCACTGCGCGGCATGTGGGATCTTCCCGGACCGGGGCATGAACCCGTGTCCCCTGCATCGGCAGGTGGACTCTCAACCACTGCGCCACCAGGGAAGCCCCATGCTGGGTAGTTTTACTCATATTTCTTGCTCAGTTCTATGCAGGGGCTTGATCTGAATACTAGTAGGCCAGGTTTTCCTTAGACTTAAAATGAACTGAATCTCTACAGACTTTAACTTAGAAAAAGGAGGCTTGTTTCCCTAACCCACAGGGCTTTTGCCATTTGGCAAGTTAGGCAAGAGGTGATGGCTCTGATTAAGGAGACTTGAAAAGGATTTTCTGATCAGAAGGAAACCAAGCAATCCCCTCCAGCCAGAAATAATTGGCCCTGCTAATAGTTACCAGAGAGGGCATTTGGATTCAGTTATGCATCACGAAACACTGAGAGCTGCAGGGCCATCCTGTTTAGGATATCTAGGCCAAGTAAAATTTGGAAATAGAGTCCATTTGAATCCTCAAGGAAATTACAATTTGGATTTTTAGAAAGCCTGGAATATTAAAATGGAACCATTAGCACAGGGTATAAAAAAGTTGGCTTGGGTCTTTCAGATATCTGGCTGAAGACAATAAAGATTATAATACAAATGGAAAATAAACCGACACAGAGGTTTTTGGTGCTGAACTTTGCCAGGCCACTATCACCTGGATTATGTGACTGTTGTGACATTAGGGTGTTTGGGAATGACTGGTGATTATTTTGTTAGGTTAGTTTATATTTCTCTAGGTTTATGGTTTTGAACTGAGATCTATTGAAAAATATTTAGTTCACCCTACTTGTGTGGCTACTTGTCATTTATAACATGTACAACTTGGATTTTTAGGCATCTTCATTTTTATATGGGAAACATTCCATAGTTTAAACTTCCTAATCTTTTTTTTTTCTCCTTAGGAAAATAAGGCAACTAACACAGACCATTTAACCACTGTGCTCTACCTCCAGTTTGCTATTTGTTCAAGTTTGCAGAACTTGGAGAAAACAATTTTCTGCCTACAGAAACTGATTTCTTTGCATCCCTTTAATCCTTGGAACTGGGGCAGATTGGGAGAGGCTTACCTGAATCTGGAGCCAGTGCTTGCAGCATTGCTTGCGTCATCTCAGAAACAGAACAGTTTCACCTCGAGTGACAAGGCTATCAAATCCTCTTGTCCCCACTCAGGAAAAGACTGTCTTTTGTGTTTCCCTGAAATGTTGCCCGAGAGCTCTGCGTTATCTGTGGAAACGAGCAGTGGTAATAACCAGAAGAATGAGAAAGCTTTAAAAAATATTCAAAACTGTATGGCAGAAGAGAGAGCAGCAGTGTTGCTAGAAACTCAGATGAAAGCCTGTGCCTCTTTTATACGAACCAGGTAAGCTAAGAGTGAATTAAACACACATGGTGCTAACCTCAGAGTAAAGGTTTTATTTTTCTAATTTTAAGCTTCTAAAAATTCTAGGCCACACACTTAGTATATGTTTTTAAGATTTTTCCCATGGTCTAGATAGAATCCTTTGAATGCATCCTTTTAGCATGTAAGATTTAAAAACAAAACTATGTTTGCTCAAAAATACAACTTGTATCATCACTCAAGATAAAAGGTTAAAAGTGGCAGCCATTAAAATTAGGAAAGAAAATTAAATGTATAAAACATTGACAAAGGGGGAAGCGATACATACATATATATTTTTTTAACATCTTTATTGGAGTATAATTGCTTTACAATGGTGTGTTAGTTTCTGCTTTATAACAAAGTGAATCAGCTATACATATACATATGTCCCCATATCTCTTCCCTCTTGCATCTCCCTCCCTCCCACCCTCCCTATCCCACCCCTCTAGGTGGTCACAAAGCACCGACCTGATCTCCCTGTGCTATGCGGCTGCTTCCCACTAGCTATCTATTTTACGTTTGGTAGTGTATATATGTCCGCGCCACTCTCTCACTTTGTCCCAGCTTACCCTTCCCCCTCCCCATGTCCTCAAGTCCATTCTCTGGTAGGTCTGTGTCTTTATTCCCGTCTTGCCCCTAGGTTCTTCATGACCTTTTTTTTTTTTTTTTAGATTCCATATATATGTGTTAGCATATGGTATTTGTTTTTCTCTTTCTGACTTACTTCACTCTGTATGATAGACTCTAGGTCCATCCACCTCACTACAAATAACTCAATTTTGTTTCTTTTTATGGCTGAGTAATATTCCATTGTATATATGTGCCACATCTTCTTTATCCATTCATCTGTTGATGGACACTTAGGTTGCTTCCATGTCCTGGCTATTGTAAATAGAGCTGCAATGAACATTTTGGTACATGACTCTTTTTGAATTATGGTTTTCTCAGGGTATATGCCCAGTAGTGGAATTGCTGGGTCGTATGGTAGTTCTATTTGTAGTTTTTTAAGGAACGTCCATACTGTTCTCCATAGTGGCTGTATCAATTTACATTCCCACCAACAGTGCAAGAGTGTTCCCTTTTCTCCACACCCTCTCCAGCATTTATTATTTTTAGACTTTTTGATGATGACCATTCTGACCAGTGTGAGATGATATCATTGTAGTTTTGATTTGCATTTCTCTAATGATTAATGATGTTGAGCATTCTTTCATGTGTTTGTTGGCAATCTGTATATCTTCTTTGGAGAAATGTCTGTTTAGGTCTTCTGCCCATTTTCGGATTGGGTTGTATGTTTTTTTGATATTGAGCTGCTGTAAATTTTGGAGATTAATCCTTTGTCAGTTGCTTCATTTGCAAATATTTTCTCCCATTCTGAGGGTTGTCTTTTCGTCTTGTTTATGGTTTCCTTTGCTGTGCAAAAGCTTTGAAGTTTCATTAGGTCCCATTTGTTTATTTTTGTTTTCATTTCCATTTCTCTAGGAGGTGAGTCAAAAAGGATCTTGCTGTGATTTATGTCATAGAGTGTTCTGCCTATGTTTTCCTCTAAGAGTTTGATAGTGTTTGGCCTTACATTTAGGTCTTTAACCCATTTTGAGTTTATTTTTGTGTATGGTGTTAGGGAGTGTTCTAATTTCATTCTTTTACATGTAGCTGTCCAGTTTTCCCAGCACTGCTTATTGAAGAGGCTGTCTTTTCTCCACTGTATATTGTTGCCTCCTTTATCAAAGATAAGGTGACCATATGTGCGTGGGTTTATCTCTGGGCTTTCTGTCCTGTTCCATTGATCTGTATTTCTGTTTTTGTGCCAGTACCATACTGTCTTGATTACTGTAGCTTTGTAGTATAGTCTGAAGTCAGGGAGCCTGATTCCTCCAGCTCCGTTTTTCTTCCTCAAGATTGCTGTGGCGGGCTTCCCTGTGGCGCAGTGGTTGAGAGTCCACCTGCCGATGCAGGGGACACGGGTTCGTGCTCCGGTCCGGGAAGATCCCACATGCCGCGGAGCGGCTGGGCCCGTGAGCCATGGTCGCTCAGCCTGCCTGTCCGGAGCCTGTGCTCCGCAACAGGAGAGGCCACAACAGTGAGAAGCTCGCGAACCGCAAAAAAAAAAAAAAAAAAAAGATTGCTGTGGCTATTCGGGGTCTTTTGTGTTTCCATACAAATTGTGAAATTTTTTGTTCTAGTTCTGTGAAAAATGCCAGTGGTAGTTTGATAGGGATTGCATTGAATCTGTAGATTGCTTTGGGTAGTATAGTCATTTTCACAATGTTGATTCTTCCAATCCAAGAACATGGTATATCTCTCCATTTGTATCATCTTTAATTTCTTTCATCAGTGTCTTATAATTTTCTTCATGTAGGTCTTTTGTCTCCTTAGGTAGGTTTATTCCTAGATATTTTATTCTTTTTGTTGCAGTGGTAATTGAGAGTGTTTTCTTAATTTCACTTTCAGATTTTTCATCATTAGTGTATAGGAATGCCAGAGATTTCTGTGCATTAATTTTGTATCCTGCTACTTTACCAAATTCATTGATTAGCTCTAGTAGTTTTCTGGTAACATCTTTAGGATGCTAAAGATCCTAGTATCTCTATGTATACTATCACGTCATCTGCAAACAGTGACAGCTTTACTTCTTCTTTTCCAATTTGGATTCCTTTTATTTCTTTTTCTTCTCTGAGTGCTGTGGCTAAAACTTCCAAAACTATGTTGAATAATAGTGGTGAGAGTGGGCAACCTTGTCTTGTTCCTGATCTTAGTGGAAATGCTTTCAGTTTTTCACCATTGAAGACGATGTTGGCTATGGGTTTGTCATATATGGCCTTTATTATGTTGAGGAAAGTTCCCTCTGTGCCTACTTTCTGGAGGGTTTTTATCATAAATGGGTGTTGAATTTTGTCGAAAGCTTTCTCTGCATCTGTTGAGATGATCATATGGTTTTTCTCCTTCAGTTTGTTAATATGGTGTATCATGTTGATTGATTTGCGTATATTGAAGAATCCTTGCATTCCTGGAGTAAACCCCACTTGATCATGGTGTATGATCCGTTTAATGTGCTGTTGGATTCTGTTTGCTAGTATTTTGTTGAGGATTTTTGCATCTATGTTCATCAGTGATACCGGCCTGTAATTTTCTTTCTTTGTGACATCCTTGTCTGGTTTTGGTATCAGGGTGATGGTGGCCTCGTAGAATGAGTTTGGGAGTGTTCCTCCCTCTGCTATATTTTGGAAGAGTTTGGGAAGGATAGGTGTTAGCTCTTCTCTAAATATTTGACAGAATTGCCCTGGGAAGCCATCTGGTCCTGGGCTTTTGTTTGTTGGAAGATTTTTAATCACAGTTTCAATTTCATTGCTTGTGATTGGTCTGTTCATATTTTCTATTTCTTCCTGGTTCAGTCTCAAAACGTTGTGCATTTCTAAGAATTTGTCCATTTCTTCCAGGTTTTCCATTTTATTGGCATATAGTTGCTTGTAGTAATCTCTCATGATCCTTTGTATTTCTGCAATGTCAGTTGTTACTTCTCCTTTTTCATTTCTAATTCTATTGATTTGAGTCTTATCCCTTTTTTTCTTGATGAGTCTGCCTAATGGTTTATCAATTTTGTTTATCTTCTCAAAGAACCAGCTTTTAGTTTTATTGATCTTTGTTATCGTTTCCTTCGTTCCTTTTTCATTTATTTCTGATCTGATGTTTATGATTTCTTTCCTTCTGCTAACTTTGGGGTTTTTCTGTTCTTCTTTCTCTAATTGCTTTAGGTGTAAGGTTAGGTTGTTTATTTGAGATGTTTCTTGTTTCTTGAGGTAGGATTGTATTGCTATAAACTTCCCTCTTAGAACTGCTTTTGCTGCATCCCATAGGTTTTGGGTTGTCGTGTTTTCATTGTCATTTGTTTCTAGGTAATTTTTGACTTCCTCTTTGATTTCTTCAGTGATCTCTTGGTTATTTAGTAGTGTATTGTTTAGCCTCCATGTGTTTGTATTTTTTACAGATTTTTTCCTGTAATTGATATTTAGTCTTATAACGTTGTGGTTGGAAAAGATACTTGAGACAATTTCGATTTTCTTACATTTACCAAGGCTTGATTTGTGACCCAGGATATGATCTATCCTGGAGAATGTTCCATGAGCACTTGAGAAGAATGTGTATTCTGTTGTTTTTGGATGGAATGTTCTATAAGTATCAGTTAAGTCCATCTTGTTTAATGTATCATTTAAAGCTTGTGTTTCCTTATTTATTTTCATTTTGGATGATCTGTCCATGGGTGAAAGTGGGGTGTTAAAGTCCCCTACTATGATTGTGTTACTGGCGATATCCCCTTTTATGGCTGTTAGTATTTGCCTTATGTATTGAGGTGCTCCTGTGTTGGGTGCATAAATATTTACAATTGTTATATCATCTTCTTGGATCGATCCCTTGATCATTATGTAGTGTCCTTCTTTGTCTTTTGTAATAGTCTTTGTTTTAAAGTCTATTTTGTCTGATATGAGAATTGCTAGTCCAGCTTTCTTTTGATTTCCATTTGCATGGAATATCTTTTTCCATCCCCTCACTTTCAGTCTGTATGTGTCCCTAGGTTTGAAGTGGGTCTCTTGTAGACAGCATATATACGGGTCTCGTTTTTGTGTCCATTTGGCTAGTCTATGTCTTTTGGTTGGAGCATTTAATCCATTTACATTTAAGGTAATTATTGATATGTATGATCCTGTCACCATTTTCTTAATTGTTTTGGGTTTGTTATTGTAGGTCTTTTCTTTCTCTTGTGTTTCCTGCCTAGAGAAGTTCCTTTAGCGTTTGTTGTAAAGCTGGTTTGGTGGTGCTGAATTCTCTTAGCTTTTGCTTGTCTGTAAAGGTTTTAATTTCTCTGTCAAGTTTGAATGAGATCCTTGCTGGGTAGAGTAATCTTGGTTGTAGGTTTTTCTCCTTCATCACTTTAAATATGTCCTGCCTGTCCCTTCTGGCTTGCAGAGTTTCTGCTGAAAGAT